TTTTTGAGGTAGGGTCTCACTACATAGCTCTAGCTGTCCCAGAACTTGCTATATAGACAAGGCTGGGCTTGAAGTCACAGAGCTCCTGCTGCTTGTGCTGCTGTGATCAAAGGTGCGGATCACCATCTTTGGGGGTGTGCATTATTTTAAGCACTATAGGAAAGTTATTTTTTTGTTATCTCCACAAGGTAACATTTCTAGTGTACACACACACACACACACACACACACACACACACACACACACACACACACACACACACACTTTGCTGCTAACCCTGATAATCTGACTTGGGTCCTCAGAATCCACAAAGTAGAAAAAGAGAGTTCTTGCGAGTTGTTTTCTGACCTCCACACTCTCATGTCATGGCATGCATGCCCCATCTCCCTAAATGCAATAAAAATTTAAAAAGAACGTTGATTGAATCTGCAGCTGCACACACACACACACACACACACACACACACACACAGAAGCATGAGGGCTTCAGGGGAAGAAATGGGAGGGCAGGAGGAGGTGAGCTCACTGTTTGCAGCTTCCTATTACTTTATAAAAACAATCCAAGGGCTAAGGGTGTGCTCAGGGTTAGAGTGCTTGCTTTAGGTTCACATAAGCATCAGTTATCATCAACTCGACACACCTGGGGAGAGGGAACCTACATTGAGATTGGCCTGTGGGCCTGCGTTTTCCTAACTGCTAATTGATGTAGGAGGGCCCCAGTCTATTATGTGTGGTGCCATCTCTGGGCAGGTGGGTCTGGGTTGCATAAGAAAAGCAGGTGAGCAAGTCAAGGAGGGCCAGCCAGTAAGCAGGGCTGTCCTTCAGTTCCTGCCTCCAGGCTTCTGCTTTGAGTTCCTGCTTTCCTTGAACAGATCTGGAATCTGTAAGCCAAATAAACCCTTTCCTTCCTCACTTTGCCTTTGGTCAGTGTTTTATCACACCAACAAAGAGGCAAACTAGAAAGCCTAGCATGTGTGAAGTTCCACCCGGGAGCCCTGACTTTTAAAAGAAGGCAAGACTGGGTGTTGGTGGCGCACGCCTTTAATTCCAGCACAGAGGCAGAGGCAGGTGGATCTCTGTGAGTTTGAGACCAGCTTGACCTACACGAGCTAGTTCCAGGACAGCCTGCAAAGCCACAGAGAAACCCTGTCTCGAAAAACCAAATAAAAATAAGAAAATAAAAAAAGGACAAAATACAAGAAACTGCACAAGAATAAGAATTACGATTTTCTGAGAACAATGAACAAAGTCCTGGGCAGTGAAATTAAATAACTAAGAGGAAATTAATGATAATAATTTCAATAAGGATCTGACTAAATGTTTGCCACATAATAATCAGACGATCTAATTAAATATTTGAAAAATTATTATTAGGCTGTGCCCTGCTCTAAGTTGTGTAAAACCGGTGTTTCAGGTTGTGTCTTACCCTGGGAGACTCTATTTCACAAGCGGCTTTTAATCCATTTTGAGGGTGGAGGACGACTTTTGGCGTGAGTGGACATAGGAACCACATCATCTGTTCAGTAACCGCCCCCTCGCAGCACAGATTGACAAACGACTGTCTTGGGCTTTTCAGGGGCTTCCGCCTAGTTCTGCCGCTGTCGATGTGACTACTTAAACTGCTGCCTGCTGCCTGCTCGTCTTCCTGTTTTCCTTTCGGACCTAGGCTTGCCCTTTCACCTCTGCAGCCGGACGGACGCAGTCGGGCGGCTCCACTCTCACCCTGCATCCGGGCTCCAGCTTCTTCCCGGGCTGTGTTTGGTTCTTCTGCATCGCATCAACAACAGAGACTCTCGGCATCTCTTACACCCCGATGCTTTCGGGCTTCTGAAAACTCTTGAGTTGACTGTGCCTCTGAACCTTTCCCACTGTTCTGTGACATACATGTGTAGCGACACACACATACACAGATATCTTTACTGTTGTGTGAGCAGAGAGGTATTGCTAGCAATGAAGGTTGGAATAAAAGAACAAATACATGCTTGACCAAGGTTATTGAGGGAAGCAGAAGTAGCTAGCATGTTGCAGTCGTGAAACAGCCACACTTTGTGAATTTATGGTTTGTCATTCAACCCATTCTGACCATTGTATTTGTCTATGTTTCTGATATGGCAAGCTCATGACAAAAACCCAATGAATCTTTAAATAACAGAATTGACAAGATTTATTCAGATGATGATTTTAAAAGCCAATAGTATTTCTATAAAATGGGCATGATTGACAAATAAAATTCTCTCAAAAGATGCCATTTACAAAGAAAAAATACAGAGGGAGAAATATGCCCAATAAAAGAGCAAAGAAAAGTACAGTTTAGGGTTCAGAGAGGTGTCTTAGTGTATAAAGATGCATGCCATTAAGCCCGATGACCTGAATTTGATCCCCAGGGCCCACATGATGCCTCTGAGACAGACAGACAGACAGACAGACAGACAGACAGACAGACAGACAGACAGACAGACACACACCATAAATGCTTGTCATTTAAAAAGTTTAGGAGTTTAGGGGCTCAGCAGTTACAGCACTTGCTGCTCTTGCAGAGGACCCAGCAACTACATGGTGGTTCAGTTCCCAGCGCCCACATGGTGGTTTACAACCATCCAGCACTCCAATTCTAAGGGGTCCAACCATCTCTTCTGCCTTCAGAGGCACCAGGCACACACATGCTGCATATACGTACATGTAGGCAAAACACTCATACATATAAAACAAATATATAAAATACTCATTTTTAATATTTTTTAAAGTGTGGGTCTTTAAAGAAAGACATTTAAGGATAAACAAATGAAGAGCTAAAACACATTCATGGATTGTAAGGCTATGTGTGATAAAGAGTCAGCTCTACCCAAGTTGAGATACAAATTCAACTAAATGCCCTCCAAAAAGTCTAATAGTTTTTACTCTTGGTGTGTGCTATTGATAGCCTGATTCCACAATGTATATGGAAGTACCAGTCCAGGACAGCTCAGTCATTTCCAAGGAAACAAGATGACGAGATTTGCATAAAGCGGCAAGACCATAGCGTGAAGACACTGTGACATTGGTCTAAGAGTAGGCCAGTGAGGCAGACTGGCACATGCAGGGACAGGTCTTGTGTATGTGGGTATAGACCACATTGTAGAATGACCACATGAGCGGGCAGGACTTCTCAGAGGGGTCTGTTGGGAATCTATTTGATCTTGCCTCATGCTAATGAAGAACCAATTCTAGGAGATACCTTGCCAGCAGATACTCCTCAGTTATTGCTTTGATCTAGAGTATTTCATTAACAAACAAACAAAAAAAATCACCAAATTTAGAGATGTTGGTTAAATTGATTGTATTGTAGTTAAAGATTGCTTTACATAAGAAATAAAAACACCACAAAGGAGTGAAAAGACAAGCTATAGGGTAGGAAACAATATTTGCAACAAAATACAATGGAAAAAAGGGGAGTCTCTAACAGAAACTATGGCAAGAGAAAGTGGGACCCACGATCCTTTGGATAGGTGACCAAAGATTCAAGCCAGAGCTTTCCAGAAAAAAACAAAGCGCTTGCTAAATCAGTGACAATAGCTAATTCTCATTTCACTATCAAGTGGAAACACGCAAGAAGCCTACTAACACTTTACAAGAGGTGAGAATAGCAGTGACAGGAGCGATAACTGCCTGGGGGTGTTGGCTAGAGTGTGAATCAGCACAGTCTATACCTGCAAGTGGGTGAAATGGGGTGAAGCATCCCCCCAGATTTATGTCCACCTGGAACCTTTCTTGTTTAGGAATAGTCTCTGCTGATGTCATCACTGAATGAGGTCACACTAAAGTATGGGTGGGAGTCTAACACAATGACCGCTATCCTTATTGGAGGGAATTCTAAGCAGACCCACGGAAGGCATATGCCTGTGTGAAGACTGACACGGGAGTGACGTGGTCACCAGTCACCAGCGATCACTGGTGGACACCAGGAACTGTAGGAGGGGAGACCCTCTCTAGAGTCCTCAGAAGTGCGGTCTTGTTGACCTGGCTGCTAGAGATAAACCCCTTTTAGCTCCCAGTGTGTTGTTCACTGTTGCAGACACTCTACAACTTGTTAAATGTAGCTATCATTTCTGTAGACATCTCTCCGCAGAAAGACGTCGTTTAGGTGTGTAGCCAGATGGTTCCTAGAGACACTTTTACAGAGTTACTCACACGGGATAGCCAGGCGTAGGCATGAGAGCCGACACAGATACTCTCCCTACCCAGAGCCTCTACAGGCAACACACACCTGTGTCCAGCAAGTGCCAAGCACCTGCCACACATCACATTTGCCATCCTTGGCATTAAGGTACAGTTGCAAAGGTGACAGTGAGAGCCAGTGCTCCAAATCTTTCCATTCAGGGACACAGACAGCAAACAGTCAAGGAGAGCTATGGACAGGACCAGGTAGCAGGGAGGCAGTAAGAGAGATGGACTAACTAGGTCAGATGCACCATGGGGGGTGAGTATATTTTAACAGAGGAAGGTGGGGGCCTAGCCAGATACTCTCTGAGCCAAGGCCAGATAACAGGTGGCATGTGAAATCCTGGGTATAGACACAGCCTAGTCATCTCATCTTGTAGCACAAATGTGTCAGCTCCATCAGGATCTTTAGGAAATCCTGTGCAAGAGCCCAGCAACCGCCCCCCACCCCACCTTGCCTATCCATGCAATTTGGTGTTGCTTGAACACAATAGCCCATCCCCAGATCTTTACTCCACCTTGGAGGAAGCAAGTACTCCTGGGACTGTCGCAACAGAACCCCACTGTGCTGCTCACCTCAACCATCACTATACCAGAAACCCTAGTGCCTGGACAGGTCAGTGCCAGCATGCTCCCCCCCCCCGCCCCTTGTGCACTCAGACTGAAGATCCTCTCAGTGCATACCCCTGATCCAGCCCTGGGCCCTATTATGAAGAATGCAGCTCGAAGGTCTTCCAGGATTGGGATGGAGCCGGAATCCCTCAAATATGAAGGGACAAAAAGGCACAGGCTCCCCACAGTTACCTGATGATGCTTCAGGTGGCGGAGACTGGGGCTTCTCCATGGTTTTCATATTCTGCAGCACCAGGGCAGAGTGCTGTACACTTGTTAAGTTTGGATCCCAGAGTTTAGTGGACTGGGCTCTGGTAAAAGTGCTTTTGGGGGCCTTACTGTCTCCATGTTGGTAGTTACTAATGGGGAAGGTGTAAGCGGGCTTTGTTTGACCTCTGCCCTCAACAGCCATTACTGGTACAGACCAGGTGGCTGAAAGTACCTTTGCTTCTTCCCGTTTCCAGTCCTGCCGCAGGGTCATTCTGGAGGACCCGATTGCTGGATCCGGTAGAGCCCGGGGGCTCCGAACTTTGACTGGAGTGTCTGAGAGTGATTCTGAGAAACTGAGGTTGGTGATGGGAGGCATTTGCTTCTTGGCTTTCTTCATACTGATGCCTTCCACACAGAGGTCAGACCCATTGAATGGTGGCAGTTCCACGGCAGGCTATGAGAAGAGGAAGTAGGTCAGGATCCCTCCTTGACCCAGACAGTCACCTGGCTGGCCCCACACCAAGCCACCTGCCATGCCCCAGAAGCTTTGGCTATGCTTCTTCAAGGCTCGGGTGCTCACTGGGCATTTCTTTGAGGCAGAGCCCAGCTTGTCTCCCTCCAGATCCTGGGGCTCAAACCACAGGCAGACAGGAGTTCAGAGGCAGAAGCCTCAGCTTTGATGCATAAGCCTGCTAGATAACTCTGAGGGGAGGCCATTAGAGAGATTTCAGAGAGGATAAGGGGCTCTGGAGAGAAACAGTCTAGAAGGGGCTATGGAACCTCCCCAGCTATTCAATCAAGGGCCTCTCCCATTATCCATAAAGTTGGGACATGGAGAAATGACAGGTAGGAAGATTAGATTGTGAAGGCCACAGGGCCTAAGTGACAGGGCTGTCTAGACGCCGTGTCTAGAGTAAACCTTTGCCTTGATGCGCACAGGAGGCTGAACTTGGGGAAGATCAGGCAGACCCAGGCTCATGACAGTCCTGCAGACACCCAGGACCACAATGCCCAGACCCAAGAAACAGGATTCGTGTCCCCCACTGACTGCGAATGAGATGGTTGCCACACAGAAGCCCAGGCCCACCCACCTCATGGACAGATATTAGCAGCCAAGTCAGGGTAGCTTCTATCCTTACCTGCCTCCACAGAAGCTCGAAGTTGCCAATGTCACAGTTTCGGTCCAGTTTGCGGTCCACCACGACCTTGATGGTATCTTCCTGTACCTGGGCACAGAGCTGGGCTGTGACGGGAGTGGAGGGGTGCATGGTGGGGCTGGAGTTGATCTCAATGAGCCAGGGCTTGAAGTCTCGCCCAAGGATGAAGTCGGCTCCATAGAGCTCGAAGCTGTTCTTACGGGCTTCTACGTGGTCCTGAGCTACCCTCATGGCATTGGTGACAGCTCTTTTCATAGAAGGGTAGATGATGCTACCCCATGTTCCCCCTCGCCCTCTCTTCTGCAGGTACTCCTGGAAACGAGTGCTGGTCCACATGTTATGTCCCGGTAGCAGTGGGCTGCGATCTTTGTCGTTCTTGAGACGCCTCTGAATGGAGTTGTTACACAGGTGGATGGCACTGTGGGCAATGCGCTTGTGAGATTGGGGTATGCCAGCAGCCATTTACACAGAGCCAGTACAGTCTGCCTAACTTGCCCTGAAGTCACTTTGCCTGGTGCAGGGCTGCTGCAGAAGGCTTGAGCTAGTGGTGGGATTGTTAGTTCTGCTACCCAGAAGCAGCCACGGATAACTCAAACAGCCTGGAGAAACAGCACAGACAGTACCAAGACATAGCAGAAGCCCACCAATGCAGAGCCAACCACTAGGAAAAGTAATCTACCCAGGCCTCAGTTTCCCTATGAGCACAGGTGAGTAGGAGCATGTGAGCCACCTACCTACAGTTTCTAGTAAGTTAACTTATATTCCTGCCTTGCTCTGTATAGACTCAAAACAAGCAGTACCTCTTAGAAGATAGACACCGTTTAGAGCTAAGGGTATTTTCATTTGACCTGCAGGTATGGGGTAGGCATGTCACCCTGGGAATTTCCAACCAGTTCCAGAGTGAGGCCTGACCCACAGCAACATGTTAGAAAGGTGAACATTTAAAAGATATAGCCATCCATCTACTTTAACTTCTGTTTGTATAGCTGGGCTAACCCCATTCAGACACCATTTCTGGGAATCTCCCATCAGGCTGAGCTGAAGGAGGGTGCATGGTATCTCCAGGCACAGAGTTGATGGCTCAGCTGTGGGTGCATGCGGCTCCCAGGCGCCATTTTCAGCGAGTTTCTAGACTCTGCTCTAGGCTCTTGTCCGGGGGTAACACACAGATAGGGGTGGTTGCCTTCAGCTATGCCCAGCCCCATCCTAGGTGTGACTCCAGGTGTGCTGGGGGTAGATTTCAATTGGCAAAGTTTCTATTGAGCAACCCTCAGCCTCCCAGGATTCCATCTGACTCTCCCTTTCAATGTCTCCTAGGGCATCCAGGGCCCCAGCACTGCCTGCTAAGTGACAATCACTAAACCACTGAAAGTCCTGGGTCATCCCTGTGGATTCAGGTAGGTTCTCACTATCCTTGTCCTCCCTGGGATGTGGTTTGTTAATCACCAGCACCCTTGAGCGTTTGAGCCTGGGAGCCCTAGTGTCCTAATGCTTTGCCAGTGAGGGGCAACCTCCATGGTTCAGAGTGTCAAACAGCAAGGGTGTGGCATCTACACATACCCAAAGGCCTCCTGCTAGGTACTTAGAGGACTATGGAGCTCCCGCTGCTGACCTGTCCAGCTTGTCCAGGGAGAACCGCTGCGTGGAGAAACGGAGGTAGCTCTCCTTGTAGAACCAGATGGTTAGAGGGTTCCAGTCTGTGACAAGGAACCACTGTCTGATGTCGAACTTGGTGTCATAGATGAGCATTGGCGTCTCGATGTACTTCTGGACCACCCATTTGTTGTCCTTTGTGGTCTGGTTGTCCGTGGCCACCAACTCCAAGATGCTCTCCACACGGTCCATGCACACAATATCTCCAAGAAGAAGAGGGGGTACCTTGGCTCAGTGAAGCACAGCACTCCCCCACGGCCCCCACGGTCATGATAGGCCCCAATACCCATCCTGGCTTTGGCCCGGCACCAAGAGTTTGCAGGGGATGGTTTGACAAGGCAGACGTGCATTCAGTGGACAAAGCTACAGTTGATGCCAGCCACTTGTTCAGCCCTCCTGCCATGAGGCCAACCCCCCACTCCAGAGGGCATTCAGAGATCAAAGGAAAACAGAGCAGAAAGCCACTCAAGAGCCTGCTTTAGGGTTTGCTGTGTTCTCAGAGCAGGGCCCCCTGAGACCAGTGAGGGTTAATGCTAAAGGAGTGATCTACCAAATGCAATAAATGACACAGGTAGGAAGAATTTAATCTCTTCCCACTGACTTTTCTCTACTCATAGGACAATTTCCCACCTTTGGCCCTAAAGTACGCTGTATGACTTATGGGGATGTGCAGGAAAGAATGATGTGTGTCATGGTGAGCTATGTAGGCTTCAATGCCAGTGACAGAGTCTGCAGCTCTCTTTTCTCTGCCATGACAATTTAGGATGAGAATGAGGTCACAGAATAGGCAGAAACACACGTTTCTCCTGACATTTGGGGGTGCTGTTACACAGTACCATCTAGTCATCCATTCTGTTGATAAAAGGTAGAGGGACTTCCATCCACAGGGTCTCACAAAGCACATGTATTTCGTCACAGCAAGTTGAGACCTTGCCTAAAATGAAACAAACTGTTGAAGTCACCTTGGACCTACACCCAAAGGCCACCAGCGGTTGGCAAGAACATACACAGGGACCAGCAGGGAGAGGTGCATTTATTGAGAAGAGCACATCTGAGCAATCCACAAAGTATCCCTGGGGAGGAAGTCTCCAGTGGGAGCAAGCTATGGCCTGTCGGGTAAGAGAAGACAGATGTCTAAGGAAGGCAAGGGAGCATAGCACAGAGCCCAGGAAGGAACACAGCGCATGCTGTCAATCAAGGTCACGTCACAGGAGAATGGAGGAAGACCTGTCCACCTGCAGGACACCAGAAGGGAGTAGACCACGATCCCCGGGAAAGAGAAGAATTCAGGACAGAAGACCTTTAGGATTGGATGTGATAAAACCACATATTAATAAAAAAGATTTTAAAGATCACACATATAGGGCTGGGGAAATGGCTCACAATTAAGAGTACTTGTTGCTCTTATAGAGGATGTGGGTTCGGTTCCAAGCACTCACATGGGGCTCATGACCGCCCGTAACTCCAGGGGTTCTGACAACTGCTTCTGGTCTCCACAGGCACCAGGCGCACACATGATGCACATAATGAATGCAAAAAACCACTGATACACATAAAATAAATAAATCTAAATTTAAAAAAATCACACAAATAACCCGCAAACTAAAAATCTTCAGAAGATCTCAAGAGACAAATAGTATATACAAACTAAAATGTCTGCTTGAATACTGCAGAGAAAGAGGACGTTCTGTAACAGAGACAAGAGGGTGCAGTTAATGCCACAGACCATGAAAACTTTGTAGCCTTAAATCTTTTATTATTTCACAGGAAAGTCTGGAAATAAATCAACTTAGCATTTAAATCAGAGACAAGAGAAATCTCTCACAGGAAAATTGAAAACTGAAACCATTTACTTAACACAAGATTAGGATATCAGACACATGCATGCATGTACATGAACACGCCCCCCCCCACACACACCCCATCAAGAAAGAAGAGAATGTAATTCCAGCTGCAGGTTGGGTGGATGAGGCAGTAAGTGTGAACACGTGAATAACCCACAGACAAATTTTATAAGGGATTCAGAATTTGCCTCCAAGTGTTCTAGGTTTTACAGGTGAAGTTCACAGTGAATCTATGGTATGAGGCGTACACTGTTTAAGATGAAAGTCCTTGCTAAGATCAAGGAAATATGTGCAAGCTCGCACGTGCACACACCACCCAAAACTAACACTCTGGGGTTGTTTATCGGCTGCATGCAAATGAGGAAATCTGAGCTAAATCAACAAACTCCAGAACAACATTGTGATGGACACTCCCTCCTCCAGCTTAGCTTGGGCACCCCTGTCTGACCGTGGCAGCACTGCTTGGATCTCCCTCCATCATGGAGCAGGTGCTGTCAAGGTAGGAGACTTGCATGATGGGGAGGCATCTGCCCAGTGAACTCACCTCGACCTCGAGACTTTGCTGCAGGCTTTATGATCCAGATGTTTCGAATCCCGTCGATGTCTATCTGAGGGTTCACAGAGCTGATCTTACTCAGCAGAGTCTGGCACTGTGAAAAGTAACTTCTCGAATCAAGGATGAAAGCATTGCCACTAAAAAGCAAGATCCAGAAAGGGCATGAGGCTCTGAGAGGCAGCGCTCGGCCCCAGTGACTGGTGGGTGCCTCTGCTCTAGGACAAGTGAATGGCTATCTGGCAAGAAAGGGTTAGGGGCAGCAGAGGATGTCAACCAACTGAGGATACGTGGGGTCATGGACCATAGAGGTTGTGTACCTGGACATGGTGTGTCAAGCAGTAAGGACCCTAGCCAGACATGGTGGTGCATGCCTCTAACCCCAGTCAGTACTGAGGCAGAGGCAGAGAGGCAGAGAGGTGCAGAGGCAGAGGGGCAGAGGGGCAGAGGGGCAGAGGGGCAGAGGGGCAGAGGGGCAGAGGCAGAGGGGCAGAGGGGCAGAGGGGCAGAGGGGCAGAGGGGCAGAGGGGCAGAGGCAGAGGGGCGCAGAGGCAGAGGCAGAGGCAGGTCCCTGTGCCAAGATACTGTCTGTACTGTTGTTGCCAGAAAGACCCTTCTAAAGCAAGCCAAGCTGCAATACAGACTTACCTGCCCCAGCTAGCAGCCGGCATACTGTCCAGTGACCTGAACTGTCACCCTGATCCCATGTCCATGCTGGTGACATCAGACTTGCAGGAAAAGGCCTGACTTTAAAACCCACCCTAACCTCAGGGAGTAGGGACAGGGATCAGGAGAGATGTCTGAGCAGCCTTCAGAATTTGAGGGTGCACTGTTGGCACCCGAGAGAGAAACACCCACCACAACACCCACATCCCCTCTATGTTCTGTGGGCAGACCCAGTACGGTGGGGACTGTTCAGTGCAGGCTCTCTGCATGCTGTCCTATGGCTGCTGCTGCTGGGCCACAATGCTGACTGCAGCCCCAGAGGTGAGAGCAAGGGCTTGGGGACAGGAGACATGCCTGTGCTGTCCACCTGCTGGGAAAGAACAGCACAAAATAATGGCAATCCCTGGCTATGTGGGTGAGGGTTTCAAGAGAACAAGAGTTCTACTTAGTGCCAGTTTCCACCCCTGGGCGCAGGAAACAGGTTGGTATGTCCCAAGTGATCTTGCCCTTGGCCAGATACCAAGCAGATGTGAGCTTTATCAACTCCATAGTGACAGGACATCTCTGCCATAATCAGCACACGGTGCAAACAGGTACAGACAACCCCCAGGGTCCCCATAACACTATCTGGTTCGAAAGGACAGGCCAGACCAGTGTAATGGGATGGTATTCTCAGTACGCGCCTAATGACATGGATTCTTTCACCACTGCGATGCAGAAACACAAGTGTTTTGCTGTCCAGTGGGAAGGGACCCCCATGACCTCTGCAGGACATTGGAGCCTGGGCCTTGGAAGTCTTTCCGGAAGGTGAGCCAGCCCTAGACTCACGTATCACGATGCCATGTTGTCTCCATCACATAATGAAAGGATGTAAAAGTTATAAGGTCATTCAGAACACAGCAGGCGCCTAGCCTGTTTCAAAAAATGCTCCAATTCTGAATATATTCATGTTCAGCGAAGCACAGACAGGGTCTCTGCAGGTCCCATGAAGTGTAGCCTCTTGGCCTTCTGGGTCCCGACACTCGAACACCGATGTGGGAGCAAGCCAGTCACAACAAGGACCAATCCCCATCCCCCGGGCTCTCAACCGGCTGTGGTACATCCGAAGTGGCCATCACTGCAATGCACCAGAGAACCTGCTCATCTGAACCTGTTCATGCCACGCCACATGGGAACCCAATGCTGCCACCCAGTGGTGAAGCCTTGGGTTCTCCTTTGTAGAGGCTCAAGAAAATGTAGCTGAGTAGATAGAGAAAGCCCTACCAGAAAAAGGGAAGTTTGACGATTTTAGCTCTTGCCTGTCAATATCACCAGCTCAAGATACATACAGAGTGAGTGCTCAGGATTCTCCAGTGTTACGTCCCAGTCGATGGTAGCTACTCATCACTGTCACTTTCTACCACAAGCATGGGCTCTGCCTTTCTTCAACTTCATACCCATGGTCAGGGACATGGGGACATGCCCTCCTCCCTCCAAAGGGCATCTGTCTCCTGAGGGGTGTCCTTCAGCCTCACTGCTGGGAAGTCGGTCCATGGCTGTGCCATTTGCAGCCCCTGATCTGACACGGCTAGGGTCTCAAGGGTCTGGGCTCACTGAGTCTTTCTGAGGCTGGGTGCTTCGGTTTCTCCAGGGTTGGAAGAGCTGGGTAATAGGGCAGACAGCTCTTGCTTTCCCAGAATGCTTTGCTTGACGCTCCTACCAGCACTGCATTAGAGCTGCCAGCTTTCGCCAACACTGTCTTTAACTCAGCCATCCTGGTGTGCAGATGTACCCCATCATGTCCCACCAGGGGTGTGTTTTTGTTGCGTCCTTTTCCTTTTACAGCTTTCGAGACAGAGTCAGGTACATACCATGGGTTGTCTTTGAGTTCAAGGTCCTTCCAGGGAAGATAGGAGCTACCACCAACAGTTCATTGTAGTTCTGATAAGCTCTGGTACTGGGCATTTATCTAGTCTGATTCGACAGCTGAATTTGTGTCTTTCATTTTTTTTTTCCTTGAGAAAGGGTCTCATGTAGCCCAGGGGAGCTTTGAGCTTGCTATGAACCTGAGGATGACCTTGAACTTCTGATCCTCCTGCTGCTAGTCCCTGAGTGCTTAGGGCTATAGGTCTGGGACCACAGCATTCAGTTTCTGTGGTGCTGGAGTTGGGACTCAGGGCGTCATATAAGATAGAGAAGTACTCTACCAACTGAGGGTTTCATTTGGTTAATTTCTTTTCTCTAACTTATTGTGGCTCACTGTCGCTTCTAAATTTGAGCCTCTGTTGGATGTGTGGACAGTGGATCTGTCTCTAATCTGTTGTTTCTATTGCCATCTTTTTGACTATGCTTTTTGAGCAACACAGTTTTTAGGGTCTTTAGTTTGTTTGTTTTTCGAGACAGGGTTTCCCTATGTAACAGTCTTGGCTGTCCTGGAACTCTGTAGACCAACCTGGCCTCAAACTCACAGAGATTTTCCTATATCTGCTTCCCTAGTGTTGGGATTAGAGGCATGAACCACCACCGCCTGTCGAGAAATACAGTTCTTAAGCCAACACAACGCATTTTTCAAATCAACTTTTCCCTGTTAATTGTTAGTGGCTAATAAATACAAAGACACAGTCAACTTGGCTAGGAAGAAACTATGTCTAGAACAACTCATATAGGGGAGTATGAAGACAACTCCTGAAAAGGAGAATAAACAGAGCATGCTCACCCTTTGATGGATTGAGCCATGAACATGTACTAGTGTTAGTTAGATAGGCCAGTGGTACACAACACACAGCCAGGAACAGACAAGTAAATTAGGAGGACCCTTCTGATAGCCACGAGGAAAAAGGACCAGGTAAGAGACACATGGAACATGGCATAACACACATGCACTCAGAGTCCCAGGAAGAGAAGAGACAGGATGAAGCAGAAGCAACAGATGTAGAATAATGACGACAGTCTGAATTTGGGGGGAAAATGTCAACCCATAGTTTAAAGATGCCACACAAACTCAAACAAGGATAAATACAAAGGCATTTCTACACACATAGCAACAAATATAATAAACAAGCTACTAAAATCGAAGACAAAAATCTTAAGGTAGTCAGAGAAAAAGATACTATGTCCCTCCAGAAGAGCCAAAATACCAGCAGAAAATTTCTGATCTAAATAGCATGAGTCAGAAGGCAGTAGAATAACATTCCAACAGCAACAGCAACATATCTTTGCAAATTGAGAATTCTATCCTGGAGAAAAAAAATCTCTCTCAAAAGTGAAAAACTTTAATCTTTTTGAGACTAAAAAAAATGGAGAAAGTTTTCCACCACAGACCGTTATTAGAAAATATACTAAGAGATTTTTTGAACAAAAAATAAGCTGATATACAAAAAAATGAAAGTAACTGATTGTTCAAAGCAACAACAAGCATGCCACATGCCTTTTAAAACAAAGATAGAGGATGGAGAGATGGCTCAGAGGTGAAGAAAACTTGCTGTTCTTGCAGAGGGCCCAAATTTAGTGCCTAGTACCCTCATCAAGTGGCTCATAGTCACCTGCAACTCCAGGTCCAGGGACTCTGGACACCTGATGCACCTGAAGGCACATAAGAGTGGCAGGAATGGGAGGAAGTAGGCCAGGCCACACTAATGGTTGGTTTGGGAAATAGTGAAAGTGCTACTTAAAGATAAGTAATAAAACAAAAAAGGTTGGGGTGTGGTGACTCATACTAGACCCTGTCTCAAGGAGAGATGGCTCAGAGGGTAAGTGCACTGACTGCTCTTCCAGGGGTCCTGAGTGTAATTCCCAGCAACCATATGGTGGCTCACAACCATCTACAATTCAATCTGATGCCCTCTTCTGGCCTGCAGGCATACATACAGACAGAACACTGTGTACATAATAAACAAATCTATTAAAAAAACCAACAACCCTGTATAGTATTTTAGGGTTGGCTTAAAAAACAAACAGAGTCTTGCTGTGTATACCCCGTGCTGGCCCCAGACTCAACGCATAGCCCAGTCTTGCCCTGATCTTAAGTCCTTCCTGCCTCAGCCTCCTGCGTGCTTGGATTACAGGCATAAGTCAACAGAAAACAGGGAGGGAAGGAGAGAGAGGAGCAAGAGGAGAGGTGAGGACAGGGGAGAAGAGAAGAACAGGAAAATGCTTGATAATCAAATGGAGGGAAGGCAGGGCCAAAGGGTGAAAACACCCGGACAGTATGTGGGGTTTCCATGGACTCTTGAAACAGACATTGCCTCCCCAGCTGTTCCTCTGCAGTGTCTGGTGGTCACCACAGGGGTGGGAGGCCGAGGAAAGTGGGGAGGTCCATCATTATGTGGGTCTTGGTGGTGAGGGGTGACCAGCACCCTGGACAGCCTGGCAAACACACCTGCTCACCATCACTCGTCACTCAGAGCTTGCCAGGCCCTGAGCGGGACAAACTTACCAAGGCTATTGTGGTTCCAAGTGATATCAAGCATGAAAGGAGCTGGGAAGGTACAAAATGAGATGGTATCCCCAAAAGATTACCACAGGAGGGGTCAAATTTTTAAATTAATAGCAGAAAGTTTTGGTACCCTAACAGCCAATAGGCACCCATGATACCCAAGGCAGGTACTCTAATATCAGAAGGTACCCCAAGACTCGGGAGGCATCCCAACCTCAGACAGGTGCTTCAGAAGATAATAAGCACCCCAATACCTAGACATGCCAGACACATGGCAAAACCCCCGAAAAAACCAAGGCAAGCGCCCTCAACAGGCAGATAGGTGCTCCAGCACCTAGGACACATCCCAGTGTGGGTGCACAGTGACACCTCTGGTGCGAAGGCAGTGGCGTGGCATCTTACTGAACCAATAAGTAGTACTGCTTTGTCAGATCATTCCATTCTTCCTCAGACAGCGCTTCAGTGCTGGTCTCCGAGGTGTCAATGTCCTCGTGCTCCAACTGTCCCAGGTAGGCCTGGCACACCTTGCATGCTGCATCCACAAGCTGTCCCGAGAGGCCTTGGAACTTGAGGTCAGTATCCTCCGGATCTGGAATTCAAGCACATGCCCTGGCTGTGAGACTGGGTGCAGAGACTGCCTCCCGTTCCTACCACCTCTCCTCTGGGAGGCGATTCTTTTCCTTCACGAGTCTTGTCAGCCCCAGTGTTCAGCGTCACTACTGCCGCTCACACTCTGAACTGCTGTGGAATAAGCCTTCCGCACTCTGTGAGTATATATTGCTCTCATTGGTTAATAAAGAGCTGAGAGGCCGGTAGTCAGGCAGGAAGTATAGGTGGGACAGCCAGACACAGAGGACTCTGGGAGGAGGAAGGGCAGGGTCAGAGGACATGCCAGCCAGCCAGCCACTGAGGGAGCAGGATGTGTAGAAAACGGGGTAAGAAGTCACGAGTGGGGCTGGAGAGATGGCTCGGCGGTTGAGAGCATGGGTTGCTCTTCCAGAGGTCCTGAGTTCAATTCCCAGCACCCATATGGTGGCTCACAACCATCTGTAATGAGATCTGGTGCCCTCTTCAGGCCTGTAGGCAGACATACAGGCAAGAATACTGTATACATAATAAATAAAAATCTTAAAAAAAGAAAGAAAGAAAGGAAAGCAATTTTTGCCAGGTGGTGGTGGTGCACACCTTTAATCCCAGCACTTGGGAGGCAGAGGCAGGTGGATCTCTGTGAGTTCGAGACCAGCCTGGTCTACAAGAGCCAGTCTCAGGACAGCCTCCAAAGTCACAGAGAAACACTCTCTTGAACCCCTCAAACAACAACAACAACAAAAACAAGTCATAAGTCACATGGCAGATTGTAAATAAGAAATATGGGTTAATTTAAGAGCTGGTAACAAGCCTGAGCTATTGACCAAGCATTTATAAGCAATATTAAGCCTCTGAGTGATTATTTGGGAACTGGTGGGCAGGAGAGAAACCTCTGAATACAGTGAAACTAGACTTGGATGTTATGACAGAGAGGAGATAGTACTTTTGAAATGTCATGTGGCTGGGCGTTGGTGGTCACGCCTTTAATCCCAGCACTCAGGAGGCAGAGGCAGGTGGATCTCTGTGAGTTTGAGGCCAGCCTGGTCTACAGAGTGAGTTCCAGGATAGCTTCCAAAACAACACAGAGAAACCCTGCCTCGAGAAACCAGAAAAAAAGAAATGTCACAAAAAGCATGCTTTCTGATCACACACTCTTTGACCAGACCTGTGTTGCTCTGGCACCTGTGAGTACTTGAAGCTGCCATGATTGGCAATTCCTATTGCCACAGAGCATCCTGCACCACACACATGGGGAGGAGGGGGCCCTTCTCAACTCCATAATTCGGGATCACTGTTGAGTCTCAGGAAGTACAGACTGAAAGTGGGCTTCAAGTGGCCTCAAGAACGTGGCCAACAGGCTGAGACCCCCTTCCTGGCTAGCTTTAGGTTACCCAGGGAGGTAGTGGGGCTGCAGCATAGATGGGGAACAGCAGGAGGCTTCAGGCACAGTGTTGGCTGAGACATGGCACTGAGGAGTGTTGTGATGGACACAGGTCACTGAGCAAGCCACAAAGCTAGAGCAATACATTTATGTGGCAGTTGCAGTGAGTACAATGGGCATTATGATATGGCCACAAGCCTATGGGGCCAGGGAGTAGAATATAGCAGCTTGAAGAAAATGGCTCCCAGAGACTCATAGAGAGTGTCACTATCAGGAGATGTGACTTTGTTGGAGTAGGTGTGGTGCTGTTGGAGGAAGTGTGTCTCCATTTCTTTCTGCTGCTTGTGGATCCAGACACAGAACTCCCAGCTCCTTTTCCAGCACCATGTCTGCCTGCACATCATGCACTACCATGATGACAATGGACTAAACCTCTGGACTATAAGCCAGCCCCAATGAAATGTTTTCCCTTCTAAGACTTGCTGTGTCACTTCACAGCCATAGAAACTGTGGTGGTTTTTAAACAAAATGGCTCCCAAAGGGAGTGGCACTATTAGGAGGTGTGGTTTATTAGAATAGGTATACTGTTGTAGTATACCGTTTGAAGTCTCATATGCTCAAGCTTCACTCATTGTAACACTCAGACCACTTTGTGTTGCCTGCAAGATGTAGGACTCTTAGCTACTTTCTCCAGCCCATGTCTGCCTGCTTGCCTCCTTGTCCCACCATGATGATAATGGACTGAACTTCTGAACTGTAAGTCACCCCAATTAAATGTTTTCTTTTATACGAGTTACTGTGGTCTTGGTGTCTCTTCACAGCAATAGAAACCTATTTAAGAAAGAAGTCCTAACTAAGACAAGCCTAACTAAGATCTAGAGTTTTGAAAAGAATACAATGAACGAATCCCTAGCCAGGTTAAAAAAGAGAGAAGACAAAAAATTACTAATATCAGTTCAGATCCCACCTCACCAATGACTTTCAGCAATGTAGCAGACAGCCTAACAAATGCTATAAGAGAAGAAAAAGAAGTGAAATGTGCATACATTGGAAAGGAACAAAGCTGTCTTTAGTTGCAGATAAGAGAAAAACACAAAAGATTTAACAGAGTCCTGGAAGTATGCATGGCTATAGTCTGTCACTTTCCTGTGTAGTGTACAATTGGAATTTGAAATTTAAAAACTTCCATTTACTTTAGGCCTATTATGTTCTTCAAGAGGACCAGAGTTTGCCTGTCAGCACCTGCGTTAAGAGGCTTACAGCTGCCTCTAACTTCAGCTACATATCAGGGCAGCACACATCTGGTCTCTGTGGGTACCTGCACCCATGTATGTGTACGTATGTACACACACACACACACACACACACACACACACACACACACACGCGCGCGCACACACACACACACAGTAATAAAAATAAAACTTTAAAAGAAAAACATCGAAACAAAACCAAATCTTGGTACAGACCTCAAGTTCAAGAAAATTAATTTTAAAAAGGGCAATAAGTCTACATGGAAGACGAGAGGCCACAAGACTCTTAGGTGAAAAACACAGAAACTCAAGTGAATCTTGAGCTTTCTGTTGTCTGCTTTAGATACAACACTGAAGGCTTGAACCGGAAAGAAACTGCTGGTGAGCTAACGGGCTAACCTCACTTACTTCTAAAATTAAAGGTGTCTGCTGCATGAAAGTCATCCTCGGTGGAGTGAGGAAACTGGGAGGTAATATTTGCACACATCTGGCACAGGAACACTGCTGTGGAATATTCCTTTACAGAGTGTGAATATATGTTGCTGTGATTGGTTTAATAAACAAGCTGACTGGCCAGTAGCTGAACAGGATAAAGTTAGGTGGCAAGCCAAACTGAGAATGATGGGATGAGGAAGGGCAGAGTCAGAGGAGTCACCAACAGATACAGAGGGAGCAGGAGATGGATGTGCCATAATAATAAAGGTACCAGCACGTGGCAGAGTGTCAATAAGGAATACGGATTAACTTAAAATGTAAGAGTTGGTTAGTAATAAGCCTGAGCTATTGGCTGAGCATTTACAATTAATATAAGCCTCAGAGTGGTTATTTGGAAGTGGCTGCTGGGATGGAAAACTCTGCCTACATGTGGTGCCCAATGTGAGGCAACAGGTGTTGCAAAATTTCTTTACCGTTTTATTAAAGCAAAATCGATGCATAAATGTTAAAAGAACAAAGGTGAACCTGAACTGAATCACAAGCCACTGCTAACACCTACAGTTGTTTGCTCCATGTTCAAAAAGGCTCACGCCCTCCTCAACTCTGCCTTTCTCTCAGTTGCATCCATCCCCAATGAAAATGCTGCCTCTTGGACCAAAATGCTTCTCTCAATTGGCTAGCAGACCGGTGACAGAATTCCTGTAGCAAACTTGTGCATAGAGGTCTATAGCAGTTTGATCCATGATAAGAGTCCATTAGTGGGTGAGTGGATAAATAACCCAGCACGTATGGACAGTGGATTACTCAGCCCTAATCATAAAGCATGGAAGACACTTCAAAGTCTGTTGCTAAGAGAATGAAACCGATCTTAACAGGTTGCAGACTGTGAGGTCCCTACTGTAGGCATCCTGAAAAAAGGAAGAACCATAGAGGCAGGAAAAAGACCAGGAGCTGCAGAATTACCTCAGCCAATCCTAAACAGTCCTGACTGTCCCCACGCTCACTGTTCAACTGTAACCAATTCATATCTCACCACAAAAGCTTCTACTCACATCCTGAAGCTGCCTTACTCACAAATCACTTTTTAAAAGCATCCTTTAAAAATTTTTTAGTATGATCATGAAATGAGGGTGCCTGGTGCTGATCTTTGTGCAAATAGGATGACAAAGGTATCACCCTACAGTCAAAACAGAAGACGGGGTGGCCATGAGAATCGGGGATAAACCAGAAGCCCTGGTGTCTCTTCTCCACGCCTGTTTGGCCACCAAAGCAACAATGCCCAGCCTGTCCATCAGCCATAGAGACTCCCCCTCACCAGCTAAAGACCTGTACTGTTGACCAGACACTCTGCCCCATAGGTGCATACCTTTTTGGGGACTGGGCTCTCCATTCTTGGTCTCCTCCTTCTTATTCTTGCCCTTGATTTTACTGTAGTAATTCTGGTGGCTCACTACCCACTTGAGGATGCTGGAAGCCACTGTGCGCCGAAAGTCATCTGGAAGGACACCAAGGCCTCGCTCCCACTGCCCACCCAGGGTGGAGAGGCAGCAGGGCAGGCCACGTGGGTCTCCCTGCCACCCTCACCAGGTGTTGCCACACTTTCCCCCAGCTGTTCACCCACCTGTCCACACCCAGTCCCGACAGCTCCTCCTTCCAGCTACCCCTCTCCCCTTCTCCTCTGTTCTGTTGTCACTGCCCCACAACCCCTCAGAGACCTGAGGGATATTCCCAGGAGTCCCCTTGCTACAGTGCCAGGACCCTCTGAGGAATCCACGGGGTCTCTCTGGACATCCTGGACCATCTAGAATGTAGACCTCCTCTACTGAGGGGTCTTGCTTGCACTCACCCAGCACATAAGCAGAGCACCATGGCTGTGCATCCTGCAGACCCAGGCTCAAGGTGATCCCAGACTCTGGGCAGCAGGACATCCACACAGAGAGATTGTGTAAATGGTGATGCTCTAAGCCAGTGCTGCTGGAGGCCTCCTCTGTCCTTTCAGAGCCAAGATCTGAATACTTAAGGTCTACAGCTTCTGTCTGTACCTCCCCTCCTCACTGCCAACACTGTCTATGTCTGGGCTGGCCCTTACAAAGTGGACCGGAGTTGGTAGTCCTGGTCCTGCGGAAGTGTGGTGCCTCAGAAGGCTGCTGGTCACTCACCCAAGAATTCCTGCTTCTCACTCTCCGTGCAGAGGCCATAGCAACGTGGGAAGAAGGCGTTGGGGTTGGCCTGGACGTACCAAGGCAGGCTCCTCATGTTCAAACACAGTCCAATCTCCAGAGAGAGAGCAGTGCATCAGGGACCTCAGTGGGCATCCTCACACAAAGTGAACTCCCCTGGGGGCCCACGGTTGACTTTGGCCCATGTTCCCTGGGAAGGGGGCTTCCATGGTTCTGAGAGTACCCAGAGTGTGAAGAACAGGGGTGCCAGTGGGTGTATGGGACATGAGGTGGTGGGTGTTTAGGGGAGGAGCCAGAAGCTCAACAGTCCCTGTGGTTCTCCCAGTTCTAGACAGCCCACCCGCTCTGATGAAGCCCCGGGCCCTCCCATCCACCTTGGTGGTGAACGATGCTGTCTTCCCATAGTGGTTCAGCATCTGGTCACAGGTCAGGCTGTGATAGTCCACAACATCCCTCTTGATAGTCCAGAGGAGGTATGGCATCTCGTTCTTTACCAACCTGGACTGGCAAGAAGAGCCCTCTATCAACACCCAGCATCCGGGACTCTATTCCTTTGAGGTGTTGAGAGTTGAGGGTGGGACAGAAGTTAGACTGTACTGTGATGATTATGGCTGAAGGTTCCATCTTAGCTGAGGTCCTGAGGCTCCATGTGTTGGTATGGGGGCACCTGGGGTGTCTGCTGTCCAGAAGCTTTTCTTGACTTGGGGCTGAAGGAGAACTTGAACCTTTCCCACCCTGGTATCTATGTGGGATTTAGAGATGTGCTATCTGCTGAACGGAAGTGAATGTGGTGCTCTGAGACCCGGGAGTGTGGTCCAGAGGAGGATGTTTGCTCCCAGAACCTCTAGGAGATAGATTCCTCCCACTGGACAGCACAGGGGAAGGTTCCAGGATCTGGTACTCACAGATCTAAGGCTAAGTGCACAGCAACTGTAAAAATGAAATTAGCTCCATAAACCTAGTGTGCTTTCTGTCCTTTTTACTTGTTTGTTTATTTATTTGTTTTAGCACTGATTTATGAGCTCTTACACACAGACATACTGGCTATCTGATCTTTTAAATCACTCGTATGGCAAAGACTTCTACCTTGGGACCAACCTTTTTGTCCTCTTTAAAGAAGATGTAGGAGAGCTTCAGGGGACCCAGGCTCGAGGTGACTGGGGTCCTGGAGACCCCATCTGTACACTGGCCAGGCCCCTTCTTCCTCTATCCTGTAATGCATGGACCCCCAGCCCAACCACTCAGCACCTCATTGTCCACTAGTGTGGGACGCAGGAGCTGGGAGCAGGGTACCGCAAGACTCAATGCCCAGTGTTCCCACACAGGAGTCTCACTCCACCCTCTGTCCAGTATGCTCTGCCTTGGAAAGGCCCTGGTATACCCCAATACCAGGCCACAGGGCCTACCATCACATCATGGATATCGTCTAATCTTTCCAAGGGTATTTCTTGATTTTCTTTGGTCTCTGCACTTTTATTATCTGCAAGTAAAACATAAGAGAGACATTGCTGCCACAGTGTTCGGGTACCTCACCAGACTTCCTGTAATGTTGGGGTCCTGCTATGGATGGATAACCACTTGTACACTAGAAGCTCCCAGTGAGGCTTCCCCTGGGGCAGCAGGAAATCTTTGAGGGCTATGCTGTAAAGGCTACATGTGTCCATTCTCTCCAGCATCCTGTGCAACATCTCATGTAGGCTGTGATAGGTCAGGATTGAGGGGATGCTGCAGGCTGCTGGATGACCCTCAGGAGAGGCTGCATCATGAGTTGGGGAGGACCAGCCTGGGTTATGGGAATGTGAGGAATGGCCTTGGTGGGGAACGGAGATGGAGGAGGAATGGCTAGAGCTGAGTGTGGTCATGGGAACCCCAAAGAGTGTCTGATGCTACGGCAGGAGTATGACTGCCTGAGATGTGTGAGTTTGGGAGGGTGGTGGGGACATGGTGACAGATGCCGGTGAGTATGCAGAGTCACTGCACCAGGGACAGCTGGCTTGATGGCCACATATAAAAAATCCTGCGCGGGGCAAGGTGAGGCTGATGCTCCACCCACGTGCTCTTTACCTTCGCCTTCCACATTCTGAAGAACTTTGGGCAAGAAATGGAACTTCTTCTCCACCCAGCCCTTTCTTCGCAGCGTGGCCCGGATGACGGGGTAGTGTCCATAGATGGAGAAAATCTTCTTTTCCTAAAAAACAGCAGTGCTTTAACTGGAGCGCTCAGCAATGAGGGGACGGAATCAATGTGAGGCGAGTTTCCAAAATATGGTGGAACAGACCACAGCAGCACACCTTGCCCAGAAAGCACAGGAATGTCTTCAGCAATCAAAAGGCTCTGTGTGTGTATGTGTGTGTACATGTGTGTACATGTGTGTGCACATGTTGGGGCTCAAAGACATAGCCCCACAGTTGCTACTTGTGGGGTGGGTGCTTATTGTTGGGTCAAGATCACAGAGGCAGCCATATTTACACTCCCATTCACTCTCAGACACACAAAAAGGAGGCCAAAACACAACCAAGAAAGCCAATGCTTCCTGAGCAACTGTCAGAGTGGTCCCCACTCAGGATCTCTGGACTTGGAATAAAGGCGAGATACACAGCTATGCAATGCCTGCAGGTCTAGAGAATAGCTGAGAGACTCCTGTGTGGCATTCTTTTATACAAAAGTGGGGGGGGGCTGGCTAGTTTTATGTCAACATGACACAAGCCACTACCAGATTGACCTGTGGGCAAGCCCATGGGGGCATTTTCTTGAGCAACAATAGATTTTGGAGGGTCTGGCCCATTGTGGGTAGTGCTGCCGTTTGGCAGCTGGTCCTGAGTTGTATAAGAAAGCAGGCTGAGCAAGTCATAGGAGCAAGGCAATGAGACGTGTGCCTCTGCTTCAGTACCTGCCTCCAGGTTCCTGCTCTGAGCTCCTGCCCCGACTTTCCTAGATGATGGACTACAAGCCTGTAATATGGAGTGAACCCTTTTCTCTCCAAGTTGTTTTCAGTCATGGTGTCTTATCACAGAAACACTCGTATGTATAAGAGCTATGGGTGCCTGAGGTTGGAATGGCAGAAATGGAGAAACTAATGGGTAGCAGGACAGAAAGGAAGGGCCAGTCTAGAAGCTGCTGGAATCCTGAGTCATCCCTCGGGGGTGGTTGGCTGCCCATGGACGAGCAGGTGGGTGGCAGCTAGTGGGAAGACTAAGCTGTACTGCCTCAGTCTTTCCAGCTGAGGGCAAGGTCAGGAAAGGAACTGCCGTTGACAGGATACCATGACTTGCCTCCAAGAGCCTCGTACGCTTGAGGCAAGGTCGCCAGCATGGGGGTAAAGTGGGGACATGCCCTAAATGTGAGCTAGCTCTCACACAGTGGGCAGTTATAAAAGTGAGCCAACTCCCCATCTCCCTCCGGTCTCCTTTATCAAATGTGTTTTCCCTCCCACACACATGCCTACAGCGATGCCATCTGCCACATACGCAACACAGCCAAACAGGTAGAGCCGCTCAGATTCTGGCTTTCAGCCTTTAAACCTGGACGGCAAATAAACTTCTTTTCTTAATAAAATACGAGGCTGCAGGTATTTTATGTAGCCACGGAACAGAAGTTGTTATCCATGTGGGCACCCCAAGTCACCTGCTAGGTGAAGGCAGTGACATGGCCTGTACTCAGTCACTAACAGGGTCAGGGATGAGCAGAGCCAGCTGGAGTCCATCAGGAGGAGTGGCTCAGAGCCACTGGAGTCCTGCAGCAGACACACAGACCTGAAAGGTCATGCATGCAGGACACCCTCCTTGGGCTCTAACCAGCAAGGTGACAGGACTTCAAACCACAATCACTGGCCTCATCCCAGGACTTTGACAGGGTTTTGTAAATGCCACCCAGGTCATAAATCAGTGACTCTGATGAATGAGCAATCCCTGGGGGAGGAGGGGAGCTAACCTCATCAGAGAGTCCCTAACAGAGGCTCAGAATGTCTCCACAACACCACAGGGGAGGGATTATGCTGACTCTCAAAGAGCTGAAAGCAGAGACACTCAGGAAGTCAGCACAGCCAGCATGTGATCTCGGCCAGCACAGCAAGCCACCATCAAAGCCTGGACGCTATCAACAGACACAGACAGAGACAAGCCGAGCTCAGGGCCCACCATGAACAGAGATGATCTGAATTCAGACCTTATCAAAGGCCCAAGACAGAAAAACAAGCTGAGCTCAGATTCCATCACAGAGACATGAACCTAGACCCTGTCACACTGTGGTGCTGTTTTGTTTATGTGTGTGCATGTGTGTGTTGTGTGTATGTGTGTGCATGTGCATGTTCTGCATCCTTTATGGGTCAAAAGTAATTTTATTTATTTAACTTTTCCCCAACATAATATTTTATTGATTATTTGGGAATTTCTCATGACACACCCCATCACACTCACTTCCCAGTCCTCCCAGGTCTCACCCCACTCTTGTGACCCCCCCAAAAAAACAAGTCCAATTTATGTTGCTTGTATAGTTACTGGAGCATGGTCAGATTCCCAGCGGCCAGCCCCTTATAGAAAACTGAGTCCTTCCCCACCTCTACCCAGGCTAGAAGCCATCAGCTGTGGAGAGCTACACTTCAGCGTCCTTGTCACAATTTTTAAGAGTTCTCTTCCATGGCTTCCTGTCTAGGCTGTTACTTTTTGGGGGGCTTGGGGGTGGGGATATGGGTTGTCACAGAAGCCTTCTATGTCTCTCTTTCTCAGCTGTGAATCTGGAATTATCCATACCATTGCAAAAGAAGCTTCCTTGCCCTTTACAGTCAACAGGAGCATGGACAACGGACATGCTTCCTGGTGACAGCATGGACCACGGACATCCACGTGGCTTCTGGCATCAGCACATGCCATGGACTTCAGCATGGTCTTCAGTGGCAGTACGGACCACAGATGTCAACATAGCCCTCAGCCCTCCGCTGCAGCATGGGCGATGGACATCAACATGGTCTCTAGGGTAACATGGGCCACAAACACGAATATGGTCCCTAGTGGCAGTCCTGCCCATGGATGTCAACGTGGATTTGGGCAGCAGCACAGACCATAGACATCCACACAGTCTCTGTCGGCAGTACACACCATGGACCTCAACATGGTCTCTGGTGGCTGCACAGACAATGGACATCAACACAGTCCTGGCCACAGCACAGACCACAGACACCATCATGGCCCTTGGTGGCAGCACTGACCGCAGACATTAACACGGCCTCAAGCAGCAACATGGCCCACAGACATTGGCATGGCTTCAGGTGGCAACTGTAGTGCTGTTTTCTATAAAAAGTTTGTGTTGCTAGGCAACACACCTAACCTTGCCCACTGGAAGATCTGACCCTATCTAGGATCATGTTCAGGAGATACCTGGAGCTAAGTAAGTCCTGGTGCCCACAGGAGATATGTGGGCTGGAGGAACCCACCAAATTGTCTTTTAGTGGGGAAGTCATCTGGATGCCCACCATCCAAAACATGGCTGTATAAGTTCGCAGGGCACAGCACAAGGAGGAGCTGGCTGCCAGCAGGGGCTAGACGAGAAACTCAGACAAAGTCAAAAGTGACACTTATACCATCTCCATATGGGAGGAAGTCATCCAGTTGGGCCAATAACCAAACTGAAATTCCAAAACAATTTCCCGGTTTTTAAATAGTACCCCCACCCACAAGTTCCGAAACACGTTTACCTTGATGGCTTTTTCTGTTAATTGTCTTGCTATTTTGTATCTGTCTAATTTGGGGGAAGAAGACAAATCTTGGGGAATTCCTTGTTTTAATTCTGCAAAAGAGAAACAGACATCAAGACAAAGGAAAGGGTGCATGGCTCAGAACAGTCACTCCTTCCTGACCTTGGATGCACGGGGAGGCCTCTTCTCTACCTGCCTCTGATCACTCTGTGTCTGCCCCCTCTCTGCTCTCCTCCAGTTCCATGGCCTCTGCCCGCTCTGCCCTCCCTCCCCATGTCGTTCTCAGCCTTCCGTGTCCTTGCCACCTTTCAAGAGTCTTTGGCCAACACCCACCCTCAAGTGTTCTCCTCCTCCCTGGCTGCCCCAGGTCACTCTGGCATGGGGTAGTCTTTATCTAAGAGTCCCTCTATATAACCCTGGTTGTCCTAGAAGTCACTATGTAGACCAGACTGGCCTCAAAATCACAGACGATGCATCTGTCTCTGCCTCCCGAGGGCTGGGACTAAAGTTGTGCACCACCATGCCTGGCACACATTGAGTCGTCTTGATCCTCTCTAGGTATGTCTAATGTGTGGTGAGAGACTATAGAGCCTCCCATTATCTCCACCAGACTCCATGGCTTTAATTCATTGGCTTATCCTCCCTCCTGCCTGGAGGAGAGGCCCCAGTGTCTCCCTGTCCTCTGGATGCCCTCCCTGACACCGTCTTCTCCCTTGGCAACCTTTTGATGCCAATCATTCTCATAGGCATACACCAAACACTTCAGTGTCCCAGGCCTCTCTATTCTTTGCCCTACCAATATCTGCTGGGTTCCCACAGGCCACGCCCACAGTGTACACCAAGTCTTCCCTGTAGGCAGCACAGGCCCTTGACTGACCAGTGTTCCCCTCCTCATGCCCCTCATTGTCCTAACTGTGGAGTCTCTCTCTCTCTCTCCTCCCTTTCTCTTTCTCTCTCTCTGTGTGGTTTTTCAAGACAGGGAAGCAGTAGAAATGTACTATGAAAACTCCACATTTATCCAGGCATGGAGGTGCACACCTTTAATGCCAGTACTTGGGAAGCAGAGGCAGGTGGATCTCTGTGAGTTCGAGGCCAGTCTGGTCTACAGAGCGAGTTCCAGGACAGCCTCCAAAACAATACAGAGAAACCCTGTCTCGAAAAAACAAAGCAAAACAAACAAACAAAAAAGAAACGCTAGGTTTATTCTAATGGATTTGAAAGTCATAAAAATTCTCCTGAACTCAGAGCAATTAAGTAAAAAAAATCAGTATAAAAATAACAGAAAACTACTGAATATGTGTAGCTTAGCAGATGTACTTCTAAATAATCTGTGAGTCAGGGAAAAAAAGATCCAAGATGTAAAGTCCTTAATTTGTCTAACCAAAAAAAGCACCACATTTCAAAACTGGTGTGATAAAGCTGTGTCTGTAAAGGCATTCCCAGGGCTGGAGAGATGGCTCAGTGGTTAAGAGCTCACTAGTAATATTTATTATTAAAAAGATGGGAAGTGGGTAAAGAGATAGCTCAGCAGCTAAAAGCATATAATGCTCTTTGAGAGGACCTAAGGTTGGTTCCCAGTTCTCATGTCAGGAGGCCCATGACTGCCTGATACTTCAGCTCCTCTGGCCTCTGCTGGAACCACCATTCATGAGCACATACCAGCCAGCAGACATAATTCAAAAGAAAATCTTTTTTTTTAAAGATGAAAAGCATAAAAAGTAACAACAGGGCAGGAGAATTCCTTAGATATTTAGAAACTAAGAGGAGGGGGGGAAATAGAGGAGAGAGAAGAAGAGAAGAGAAGGGAAGGGAAAAGAAGAGAAGAGAAGAGGAGAGGAGAGGAGAGAAGAGAAGAGAAGGGGAAGGGAAGGGACTGTACCTATGTTAAAGATTCTACAAGACCTTACACTGAGAGTTAAAAATTTTCAGACTGGAGTCTAATTATCAGGCTATTTTTAGTCCTTGGAATGCCATTGTTGCCCACGTGTATCTGGCCTAACATCCTTGTGATTATCAGAACTTTAAAATGTATTCTTAGCAGGCCACTAGCCTCCATTAACCCAAATCTAAAAATACCACCAGGTGTCATTTGAAACCTGTAGCAGAGTTTTCCCTGCTTTTCTGTCACCTGCCTACCCTTGGCTCAACCAATGTCTTTTACAAACACCTCAATTTAGGATTTTGTCGTGTAACTAGTAGTCTTTCATTTAACTGTTCCCACAATAGAACATGGAATTTGATTTAGCCTAAATCTATATTCCAGTTTACGGTCTCTCACATTTGACTCCAGAATAAGCTATCTCCTGTCCCTCTGAGATGAGGACTGTGTTTTATACTGACAGAGGTGATGATGAACTAATCCCTTGGAAAATACAAATAGATGATAAATGAATATGCTAGTACAGGAGCCAACCAATCTGAGTTTAAAGCCTTCCCATTATAAACACTCCAAGCCTGATGCATCAAGGAAGGTTCCTCCTACCTTTCATCCTATACAACTCTTGACAGACAGAGACACATGCTCACAACCTGCCATGCCTGTGATACCTGAATGCCACCTGCATACGACAAGAAAATGAGACCACAGGCCTATTGGCCATAGATGACAAGATAAAACACAAGAGCTGCACAAATTCTGGCTACATGGAAAGGGGCCATTGCCATCTGGGGGCCCTCCATGGCTGAACTTGAAGGTCAACATTGCCATGAGCCACATGAAGAGAAGGAAGAAAAGTCACACTACAGATAAAGAGACACTGATACAGAAACAAAACAGAGAGATCAGTCATGAAAACTGGCTTTGATTCAAGTTTAATAGCTACAATGGACCATTAATGATATCCCAATAGTTAGTTCTCCATAGGTATGGACATACTGTTAATAGAGGCCAGAGAGTTTCCTCGGGGGTTAAGAATGTTTGCTACTCTTATAGTTAAGTTTCAACACACATTATCCCGTGGCTCACAACTGCCTGTAACCCCCGTCTCAACGCCCTCTTCTAGCCTCTGCCGATGACACTCATGCACATATCCCCACACAGACACATGCATATAATTTAAAAAGCTTAAAGAAAAAAATCATTACTAGAAATGAATTTCCTTTCAGGCTTAAATCTCTTGGCTCTGTGGGAAACACAGAACCTGGCTCCAATCCTGGTGTTTTGGTTTCTTTTTTTGGTTGCTTTTCCTGTTGCTATGATAAAATACCCCAACAAAAACAACTTAAAAGGATTTATTTTGGTTAATTCTTACAGGGTACAAATTATCATAGTTAGCTAAGCACATCACATGTGATGTCAAGCGGAGAGTAACAAATGCCATGCTCACCTAGCTTTCTCCTTTTTATACAGTTCAGAACCCAAAGCCCAGGGGATGACGCTGCCCACTGTTAGGGTATGTTTTCCCACCTCAGTTTACTTAATCAAGACATCCCTCACTAATCCAGCCTAAATAATTCCTCACAGCTTGTCCAAAGACTTGTCTCCTAGGTGACACCAGATCATGTCAATCTGATCATTACTGATACTAATAATAACTAATAATAGAAATAGCCAATACTAATCATTAGTTTTCAGTTCTCATACTACTCCCAGCCAGAAAGGACAAGGTTCCTCACTGGAGGAATGGGGTCAGGACAGACTGACTACCAGTGATTTCAGGTATCTTGAGGACGTTTAGAGACCAGCTTTCAGACTGAGGAGATGATGCAGTTGGCAAATTGCCTGCCACACAGCATGGGGACTGGGGTTTAGATCTCCATTATCCATGTAAAAAGATGGGTGTGGTCATGTATATCTGTAATCCTGACCATGAGGCAGGTCTGTAACTTGTTTGGCAGCTAATTGGTGGTCTAGTCAATTGGTGACTTCTGACTGGAAAGATAACGACAAATGTTCATGCTCATCGCCCTTTCTCCCAATCCCAAGGATAAGGGGTTCTGAGTGATAGTAGAAGGCACACAGGCTGAGTGCAAGCTCAGACAGGGATCTGGGCTGGTGAGGTGGTTAAAGTGGGTAAAATTGCTTGCTACAAATGCCTGGAAATGGGAGGCTCCAGTCTGGAACCCATGTAAAGGTGTGTGCCTGTTAGCTTTTGTCAACCCGATACAAGCTAGAGTCCCCTGGGAAGAGGGAACCTCACCTCCATCAGCTTGGCCTGTAGGCAGGCCTGCAGGAACATTTTAAGTGCTTTAAAATTTTTTTATCTGTATGAATGTTTTACTTGCAAATATGTCTATATATTATGGAGTGCACGTGTGGGGTGTGTGTGTGTGTGTGTGTGTGTGTGTGTGTGTGTGTGTGTGTGTGTGTGTGTACTGTCAGCACAGGCTAGAAGATGGCTTTGGATTCCCCCTGAAACTGGAGTTAAAAATGGTTGTTAGCTGCTGCCAGGTAGGTGCTAGGCATAGAACCTGGGCCCTCTGGAAGAGGGAGCTGTTACTCTTAACCACTGAGCTGTCTCTCCATGTCAGGTGTTTTCTAGGTTGCTGATGTGGAAGGGCTCAGCAATTCTCAGTGTTGCCAAACCTGGTTAAGTGGTCCTGGGCTGTCTAAGAAGGCAAGCTGAGGAAGCCATAGAAAGCAAGTAAGCAAGCAGAATTCCCCCACGGTCTCTGCTTCAGTTCCTGCTCCTAAGCTGCCACCTTGAGTTCCTGCCCTGGCTTTCCTGGGTGATGGACTGTGACCTCTAAGGGTACACTTCAAGGCACTTTTGGTCAAGTGTTTTTTATCAGAGTGATTGAAAATAAACGAAGACAGAAATTGGTACCAGGGATGTGGTGTCTTGCTGATGGACCTGATTGTGTTGTTTTACAGGGTGGAGGATTGTGGCGGCATTGGAAACTTTGAGTTGGAAGTGCTCAGGGTTGATGAGTGGTGGAGGAACCTGACTAGATAAAGTGAATGATATCTGTGAAGCACACTTCTGGGTGTCTGTGGTGGTGGTGTCTGGTCACCAGGGGTGTGTCTCTAGGGCTATATCTTGCTTGGCTCCCTTTCTGTGATTTCCTTTCTCTGCCTCCTTACACTCTTGACCAAGATGGACTGGATCTTCTCAGACCTTGAGCCAAAATAAATAATCCTCCTTTAGGTTGC